AGCGATATCGTGCTAGTGGATGAGACTAGAGAAGGAGTTAACACAAAGTTGGAGATTTAGAGAAAGACTCTTGAATCTAAAGGATTCCAGATAAGCAGAACTAAGACAGAGTATATGGAGTGTAAATTTAGTAACAGTAACAATGAAAGTAGAGGAGAAGTGAAGATTGAGAACCAAGAACTGTCTAAGAGTGAATATTTTTGTTATTTAGAGTCGATTATCACAACAGCGGGAGAGATTGATGCGGATGTGGCCCATAGGATTAAGGCGGGATGGTGCAAGCGGAGAAGTGCATCTGGGGTACTATGCAATAAACGAATACCCACTAGACTAAAAGGTAAGTTCTATAGAACGGTTATTAGACCAGCGATGTTGTATGGGATGGAGTGTTGGGCAACCAAAAAACAACATATAGATAAGATGAGTGTGGCTGAAATGAGGATGCTAAGGTAGATGTGTGGCAAGACTAGACTAGACAAGACATAATTAGGAATGAGTATATTCGAGAATGGGTAGGAGTAGTACCGATAGAAGATAAGTTGAGAGAGAATCGATTGAGATGGTTTGGTCATATTCAACGGAGACCAACAGAGGCAGTAATGAAGAGATGCGATGTTGTAATGATAGATGGAAGTGTTAGGGAATGGGGTAGGCCTAGATTAATGTTGGCTAGCGTTGTAAATAGAGATATAGATCTACTTAATTTGACTAACGAAATGGCCTTTGATAGGGCCGCGTGGAGAACTATGTTACACGGACTCGAGTACGGGTATCGGGTGCGGGTGTGTATCTAGGGGTCGGATACTTCAAAATTAAAAATTGAGGATACGTGGATATGTATCCAAATTTAGATACGGGTACGGGGATACGTTAAATAGATTTTTAAAAATATATATATTTATTATATTATATAAATAACAAATAAAAATTATTTTAGATATAAAATAAATTATATTATATATGATAAAATAAGTTATTTTTATTTTAGACATAAAAATTATATTATTTATGATATATTATATTATATAATTTTTTTTAGATGAATAATATTATATGTTATTATATTAATGTAATTTATACTATATATTATATATTAATGTAAATGTAATATGAATAATAATTTACAAAAATTATTATTATATATGATATTTTAAGAAATAATAATTAGATGTTTTATTATATATGGTAAAAATTATAATTTATAAATTATATTATATATGATAAATTATATAAATTATATTATATATGATCATTAAAACAGAGACAGAGAGAGAGAGAACAGATTGAGAGACGAAAAGACGAAGAGAGAGAGAAGCAGAGACGAGACGAAGAGACAGAGAAGTAGAGATGAAGAGAGAGACGAAGACGATCGAGATCGAGATCGAGATCGACAGTAAGGGAAGCGAGTGACGAAGATGATCGAAGCCCTAGACGAAGACGATCGTGATCAATAGTGAGAGCCCTAATAGTGATCGATGATCGAAGCCAACAACGACCAGGTTCTCTCTTCTTTTCTCCTCTTTCATTTCTTTGCTGTCTGTAAAGAGCTGTGTCCGAGAGAGAAGAGGCGAATTTGACATAGATCCTACACCCGCACCCATGTCGTGTCGTGTCGTGTCGTGTCGTGTCGACACGGGTACTTCGTCCCAAAGGGCCGAGTCCATGTAACATAGGTGGAGAAGAAAGATTCATGTAGCCGACCCTATTGGATCTACTGAATTTGACTAACGAAATGGCCTTTGATAGGGTCGCGTGGAGGTGAAGGATTTATGTAGCCGACCCCATTTGGTGAGACTTAAGACTTGGTTTGGTATTTATTTTAATTTCAGCTATAAACAGTGTTGTTAAAAGCGCGCCTAGGCGCAAGGCTCATTGAGGCGCAGCCTGTGCGCCTGAATTGGTCCCAGGCAAGGTGCGTTGAAGAAGTCGCGCGCCTTAGGCGCGACTGGAAGCAGGCGAGAGAGGCGCAAGGCTCGCACCTAGGCGCGACTGATGTTTACGCCCTAATCTTTGATCTAATGGCTGTGGTGTGTGTTCGGAATGGCTCTAACCACAGAGGATTACAACTTATATACACTACAAACCCCATACGACTGAAACGAAAGCCCTAATTTGTGTCGTCTCTTCGTCTCTCCATCTCTCGACTTCGATTCAACTTGGACTTGGACTGGGCTACGACTTCGACTTCGACTTCAACTTCCAGGTGCGCTACACTCTCTCTCTCTCCCCTTCTGCCTTCTTCGACTTCGATCGTCGCTCTCTCGTCCTCCTTCGACTTCGATCGTCTGATCAGTCTTCAGTTTATTTTATTTTTTCTCCTTCTTCTTCTCTCCTTCTTCTTCACTGATTAGTCTGCTCTGCTCTGTTTTTTTTTCTCAATTATTTATGCCTTTGAGTCTCTGTTAAAACAAAAAAAAAAAAAAATACAAAATATTTATGCCTTTGTCAATTAAATATTTTAACAAAATAAATATTTTTTTAAATAAATACAAAAAAATAAATACAAAATAAATACAAAATAAATATTTTTGTTTCTCAATTATTTATGCCTTTGTACTCTGTTAAAGAAATACAAAATAATTTTTTTTTTTACAAATAATTAATTAACACACTGCTATTGGTCTTTGTTTTTTTTACATTACATTATTTTCTAAATTGACACATTACATTACATTAATTATTTTTTAAATTGACACGTTACATTACATTATTTTACATTACACTAATACAGTATGCATTACACAATTGCATTACATTGTATTAATTAATTTTCCATTACATTACACAATTAATCACACTTACATTGCACTGAAATTATTTTCCATTTATTAAATTTGTTGTGTAGAAAATGACATCATCGGAAAGTAAATTTGTTGAGGATGATGATTGACTGACCGACCTAATCTACCCTTTCTTTTGATATTGATGTTTTTAAGTGTTAAAGACATATATTAGTATTTGTTGGATATTGATGTTTTTGGATGTTTGGGATGTTGGGGGTTTATGTTTTTGTTTTTATTTTTATTTTATTGAATGTGGATTATTTTATCTTTAAAAATTGAAATGTTATGTAATATGCACTTTCATGGCTTTGAAAATTATTCTATATTTTGTCTTGAATCTTGATTACTTTTTATTTTTAAAAAAATTGTCTTAGTACTATGAATAATTAGTCTATGTTAATTTTTCTATTTTTTACTAAGACTGTGCGCCTTACTTCAATAAAGCCCGCGCCTCGCCTTGCGCCTTTCGCCTTTCGCCTTTCGCCTAGGCTCCGAGAGACCTTCAGCGCCTTAGTGCGCCTTGAGCCTTTAAAAATACTGGCTATAAAGAAGTTGTTTGCCAGAGAAGTGAAATGAGAATAAGATGACATTAGCTGAGCTTTTAAATGAGGGTATAATCCTGCTCGTATCAATTTATGGTAATTTTGAAGTTGAGATCACTGGCATTCAACATGATTGGAGAGCGGTAGTGCTGGTGATTTATTTGTATGTTGTGTTGGGGGTTTGCAGAACCAAGAGAAAGGGACGCGGTGGTAGTGGTTGTGGATGGTTTTAGCTAGCTGAGGCCTTTCATGGTGGTTAGTAGGGCCCTTTGGTGGTAAGGAACAAAATTTTGTTTCTTTGCCATTGAAACAACTGAAACATTTTTGTTTCCTATGAAACCAAGACCGAAACAAAACATTAATGGAGTACTCTACGAAACATATCAAAACAATTAGTTTTTTTCGACATCTATTAAGATATTTAACAATGCTTATTTTTATTTTCTTCTTTTGTCAACAGAAAATTGTGAGAATGAAGGAAAATATTAACTTTTGTAGAGAATCTAAGAAACTGGATAGGAAAAGAGAAAGAGAAGATAAAAAAAAAGAAGCATTTTAAGTCACTTTATTTTCATCCCTACTACTATTAGAATTTTGCATTTAAATTTTTTTCTTCTTACAATGGCAAACCTCTTCCCCAACTAAGCCTTTAAACTATTTGTTTATAAGCTTCTTACAGGTTCAATTATTTAATTATTTAAAATATATTAACATTTATATAGGTTTTAGTTTTTGTTTTAAATATTTCCAAACATTTTCAATATTTATCTCATTTTCTTTATGTTCTCATTTCCAAGCTAACTGAAACAACATACCAAAACAAAATTTTGATCCTTGTTTGGTGCTGGTTGGTTTTGGCTAGATGAGGTAGTGTTTTTGGTTTTAGGAAAATATTAGTTGAATAAAGAATATGGGTGTTTGGATACAACTGGTGTGTGGACACAAGGATAATTTGTAAAATAGACATTTGAATGTAAAAATATGACATCATCATTTTATGTAACTAACAGATGACTAACATTAACTAAACCTTAGGGGAGGTTGGTGTAATTTACCCTTTATTTTAGATTGTGATGGTTCTAGCAAGTTGTGCTTCGAGGGACTTGCAGGGACAGTTGTCAAGCTCTCATGTTTGTTTTCTCCACTTGTTGACAGGGTTATGCATATAAAATTCAGTTGTTTGTTTTGTTTAATTCATTTAAGTGAGTTAAAAAGATTTTTCAAGATTTCTTGTGGAGGGAAATTTAATTAATGCTAAATAATTTTGTCACTTTATTGAAACTTTGCTACATTTCATGAGTTGTTTGGTTGCTATGAGAATCCAGGTGTTGTTCATTTTCATTTCTAATGCTATAGCTTGTATCTGTTTATCTAGCTATTGCTAGAGACCATATGGTGATGAAAATTGATGTTCAGGTGCCATTCTAGAAGGTCAAAAAAATGATTTGATTTCTTTCTTTGTTCTTCAAGACTGTTTTCTTGGTTCGCCTTGTCATCCCATTTTACATATAGGCCATTTATTATTCTTTGCATCTGAGGATTCTCCTTAAAAACTACTTATCATTCCCAAAATTGGCGATCTTTGACAGTATAACATTAAACTGATGTCATGTGTTTATATTATGCTGATCTTATGCAATGGTTATTGAATTTGAGACGCCTTATGCTTTTGTAGAGTGTTCTGGACGGTTACAATGGGACAGTGATGGCATATGGTCAGACAGGTACAGGGAAGACTTACACTCTTGGACGGCTGGGTGATGAAGACACTTCTGCTCGTGGTATCATGGTTCGTGCAATGGAGGATATACTAGCAGATATCTCTCTGGGGACTGATTCTATCTCTGTCTCATACTTGCAGGTTATTATATGCTTATAATATAATTGATTATTTATGATATTGTAACTATTACCAAATTTTATTTGTCTATGTAATCTTTTCTTTATCAAATTAAAGATTTTGGAGTCCATCCTGTTTTAACCATTTTATCATGTCAAACTCTCTATGTAATCAATATATGCCTGTCTAATATGTCTCATTCTTAAACCATATGCAGCTTTATATGGAGACGATCCAGGATCTCCTAAATCCAGCAAACGATAATATTGCCATTGTTGAAGATTCAAAAACTGGTGATATTTCTCTACCAGGTGCAACCCTTGTGAAAATCCGAGATCAGCAGAGTTTTTTGGAGCTACTACAATTAGGGGAAGTTCATCGATTTGCTGCTAACACGAAGTTGAATACTGAATCTTCTCGTAGTCATGCTATTCTCATGGTGAGTTAATGAGTTGTTATTTTATTAAAAAAATTCATTAGGCCATGCATCAATCTTTCATTCCATACCCGAAGTAATTATTCTCGTTAAATATTGCTCAAGTGGTATATTTTGATCTGACACTATGCAGGTACATGTCAAGAAGTCTGTCTTGGGAAGAGAAGCTACTTTTCCAAATGAAAATCACAACCCTTCTCACTCAGTTAATAATTTTAAGCCACCTGTTATTCGGAAAGCCAAGCTGATTCTTGTAGATCTTGCTGGTTCTGAGCGAATTCACAAGTCAGGTGCATACCACGACTTATGGACTTCTGCTTTTTATATGTATTCTTAATATGAATTTCTCTTTAGAGACGAGGTTTTCTTTTGATAGTTGCTTGTCCACATAAGATTTGCTTTGCACACATGTACATGCCTGTAATCAACATGTTTCAACATTTAGGCATAGTTGGGTTGCATATTTTTAACTAGTTCTTAGCTTTATTGGAGATGAATCATGGTGAAGCACGAACACTTCTAAGAAGGTGTTATGTCCGTGTCAGACATCGGCATTTGCTGGATACTTCCCAACACATGTTGGACACACATCCAAACATATCACAATATTTTTTAAATTGTTTTAGATCTGGAGTCAAGGACACCAAAATTTGTCATAACATGACACAGTAAAACCCCCCAATAATGGCTAGAATCAATATTTGGTGGATTTGAAAACATTAAAATCATAGGTTGGTCCTCATGGGTTGTGTAATTTTCTAGGTACAATTGTGATAAACTGACACGGTAAACCCCTTAATAATTGCTAGAAAGTAGAAGCAGTTGGCATTGGATTGGAAAACATTAAAGTTGCAGGTTGGTAATCATTGTAAAAGCTGATTTTTATAGGTCGTAATATAAAGAAGCATTTTATTAAGCTTATACAAATAGTGTGACCATGACTTTAGGCTCCTCCACTTGAGGCTGATGTTCTCTTATTTGTAGGTTTTCTTCTCTATTCACGAGAAATATTCAAGAAAACTTGTCTCAATCATTTTAGAACTGAATCTCCTAAGACACACGGATATTGACACAGTAATTTTAAAAAAATGCAAGGCATGATATGTGGGGGAGACATGAAAATATATAGTTTTATATATTTATTATATGATATATACAAATACAAAATATTTCATTAAAAAAATAAAAAATATAACGTACTCTAATTTCTAAAGTTTAAAGATGAGAGATTAACAGGTATAAACGATATTGTTTTTATTATCTCATTAGATATTAAGTGATTTTGTTCAAACTTATAATGTGTTTCATGTGTGTTTAAGTGATGGTCACATGTGCTTATCAAAAAAAAGAAAAAAGAAAAAGTGATGGTCACATGTGTCTCAACAGTGGACATTGTCTAGGACCTCCTTGCATGATGCACTTAGCCATAGACCAGTTGCTAGCAATTGGCAATCTATCTTATATTCATGTCTCACTTTTATCAAATGGTTTGTAGGCCACTTTTGGAGTTGAAAGCTTTCTCAAAATTGTCTAACATTGATTGGATGCTTATCCAAGAGTTAGGCAATTGATTATGCGGCTTTTTTTGAAATCTCTGAATAATTTTATTTATTTATTTTTCCAGGCGAATTTTTGTGTGTCTGATTCTTTTAAATGAGTGATTAACCGTATTTCCTGTGTTCAGCATATTCTAATTTTTGCACTTATTTTCTTTATATCAAACAAGGTTGTTAGTGGTTACACCCCATTTTTGACTCTAGCAAGAGATGAGCAGTCTGTTCCTCGTTACTGTTCAATTTTTTTATTTTTATTATTTTTTTTGAGAAGTGCTATTTTTATTTCACCTCTTAGTTTCACTTTCCAGGTGTATTGATACAATAAAACCATGTGTATGTGTAGGACCCACCATATTTAATGAGTAGTGAGACTTGCCATGCTACGTATGGATTCACATAAAAACTGGAGTTTTGATGAACTACTTTGGTGATATATAGCAGCCTAAGAAGTACTAACACTTCTAAAAATGTAGCGTGTCCGTGTCAGACACTTCCTGACACGTGTCCGTGTCAGACACTTCCTGACACGTGTCCGTGTCAGACACTTCCTGACACGTGTCCGTGTCAGACACTTCCTGACACGTGTCCGTGTCAGACACTTCCTGACACGTGTCCGTGTCAGACACTTCCTGACACGTGTCCGTGTCAGACACTTCCTGACACGTGTCCGTGTCAGACACTTCCTGACACGTGTCCGACATTCATCCAAATATGTCTTATTTTTGTATAAAAATTTTAGACTCGGATACTCTTTGGACACTTACAGGATACGTGTCCATTGATTAAACACACATGAAACTAATTATAACTTTGAATAAAATAACTTAGAATATGATGATAAAAGAAAAATAATTTCAATTTATAGAAATTAGTGTTATATTGCATTTATTTATTGTTTTGGAATGATATATTCATATATACAACATATAATAAAAATATAAAATTATATATTTTGTCTTTCATGTGTAGTGTTTTGCATTTTTTGAAAATTACCGTGTTGGCGTGTCCATGTCGTGTCATGTGTTCATGTTCGTGTTCGTATCCGTGCTTCTTAGATAGTAGCCCTTTCCTTTCCTTTCCTTTTCTTTTTTTTTTTTTTTTGGATTTTCCGTGCTCTTGGACCAACTGTGATCTTTCATTTTTTGAATCCAACTCCTGGATAGGCCTTTTGGCCAATTAAATAGAATGCTTTTTCTACATATATCATGTGTATAGGGTTGTGCCTCCTCCTTTTGGTGCCGTTTAATGAATTTTTACTTTATCAAAAAACATTTCATGCCAATTCAATTGGTTTTCTTTTAATACACAAAAGGGTGAAGAAATTGGTGACTGTCATTGTAGCCTTAAAGATTTTTGAAACCAGATTATTAATAGTCTTTTTATTGTTTTGTGCTACTATGGTGCTGCTCATGTGGCAAATTTCTCTCCTTTTATTTCTGGCAGGAAGTGAGGGACATATGCTAGAGGAAGCCAAATCTATCAATCTATCACTAAGTGCATTAGGAAAGTGCATAAATGCTCTGGCAGAAAATAGCGCTCATGTTCCAGTTCGAGACTCAAAGCTGACAAGGTTGCTTAGAGATTCATTTGGAGGTAATTTTTTTTCCTGCAAATTTAGCATATATATCAATTCATTCTCAGGGTCTCTAGCGTGATGAAATCAGTTCATGAGATGGCAATGTTTTTGTTATTAATGTGCTGACTTCACTAGTTTTGCTTACTTTTGGCTGAAGATGAATACTACTTGCCATAGACTTTTTATTTATTTTTACTCCTATATAATGCTTTAGAGATTGACAACACTAGCCGACATTATTGTTTTGGCATTTCCATTTGTTTTGATCTGCCAAAAGAAATCCATTTGTTTTAGCCCTATGTTTGTTTACTTGCTGCAGGTTCAGCAAGAACTTCATTAATTGTGACAATCGGCCCATCTCCACGCCATCGAGCAGAGACTGCGAGTACCATATTGTTTGGACAAAGGGTGAGTTATCAAGTTTGGAGTCGTATAATTCAATTGACAAATTATTGATTTATTTTTTATTTTTTATGCTTACAATTGGAGTGAGTGCATTCGTTTGTGCTGTATGTATACTTTTCTTGAACATTTGAACATTTTTTTCCCCTATAAATAAGTACAAGTCTGTTTTGTGGCCGATACATTAGTCTATACATTCAGTAGCAAATATTAAAACATGCTTTTTTATGCAGCTTAATTGTTTGTCCCACCATCTCTGGGCATATGAATTGATACTACATCTGATTTTGATTTTATATACTTCAAATAGTTCAGATGTGTGTGTGTGTGTGTGTGTGGTTTATTTTTTATGCTTACAATTGGAGTGAGTGCATTCGTTTGTGCTGTATGTATACTTTTCTTGAACATTTGAACATTTTTTTTCCCTATAAATAAGTACAAGTCTGTTTTGTGGCCAATACATTAGTCTATACATTCAGTAGACACAAATTTCCAGCACTTTTTTATGCAGCTTAATTGTTTGTCCCATCATCTCTGGGCATATGTATTGATACTACATCTGATTTTAATTTTATATACTTCAAATAGTTCAGATGTGTGTGTGTGTGTGTGGTAAATTAGTCTGAACTTATGCGTAACTGGTGGATTGGTTGGCTATCACTTTCCATCTCTAACAGGCGATGAAGGTGGAGAATATGTTGAAAATTAAGGAGGAATTTGATTACAAAAGTTTGTCTAGAAGGCTTGAGATACAATTGGACAAACTCGTTGTGGATAACGAGAGGCAGCAGAAAGCTTTTGAGGATGAAATTGAAAGAATTACTTTAGAAGCACAAAGTCGTATCTCTGAAGCTGAAAGTAACTTTGCAGACGCATTAGAGGTTAGTTGGAGTATTTATTTCCTGCCCATAAAATGCACTGTTTCCACACTATACAAACACTTTATTTCACTTAGATTGAACTCTCATTATTTTATTTGTTCTATTATGTTTTCCCTATACCAACATTTTGGTTAATTGTTTCGTTTTAAGTTTTCTCAATGATGCCACTTAAAATTTCACCTTTGTTTGTAGAGAGAGAGAATGAACTGTCAGATGGATTATATGGAATCAATTAAAAAGCTCGAAGAAAAGTGGGTGCTGAATCAACAAAAGCATGGCAATAATGGCTTCATAAACGGCACTTATAATGGAGAGGTAGCCAACAGTTGAACTGTGTCTTGTATTATGTATTGGTAATTTCAGCCTGTCTTCTCAAGCTACTGCTTCCTTGTCATTTTAAAATAATATTGGAGTTTTGCATTGTCCAGTGTCAACAAGAGTGATTATATATCTTTAATGGTTGTCTTTATCAAAAAAATATATCTTTAATTGTTGCACCTACTGTGTTGATGTGAATGGGGACCAGAGAAATTCATAGTTCCTAAATGTTTATCCATTTACTTTTTTCCATTTTAAGGGACTATGTTCTGTATGTCATTATTGTTTTGCACAAACATATTGATTTCCATGTTAAAGTCCCAACTCAAAAGGTTGAAGGAGATATTATTTTGTGTTGGCTGGTGATTTTTGGAACCAAAACTCAATTAAATTGTCAAAATTACCCTGTGAAATATATTAAGAGCTGTTAGCCTCAGTATTTTACCCTGTAAAGCATATCAGATTAGGTTGAACGCGTAACAAATTTTCTTTTTGGTAAGTTTCGTATGAGGTATGTAAAAGGCACAGTACTTCATTTCCTAGCTCGTTTCCACACTCAAATTTAGGAACTGTTTGTTACAGCTTTCGAGGGTGATTATAGCTTATTTTGATTTGGGAGTCTGTGCCAAACTGTTTGGTGCAGCTTCTGCTTATAAATTATTAGGCAGAAATAGCTTAAATAAGCTGAAAAAGCTAATTATTTGAAAGCTAAGGTAGGAATGCTTTTAGCTTTTGTTTTCTTATTATCAGCTTTTAACTTAAAAAAAGCTCCACCAAACAGAGCCTTAGTGTGGCAAGGTACTCTTCGCTTCATCCTCGAAGGGTTTTATCATAACTTCTCATCTTTGTTAAGCAGCCAAGCTCTTCATCAAATTTCTACAGTATTTTAATAAAGCTTAAACAAGTTTCTCTATCAAAGGGAGGTTTGGAAAACTTAAAAATGGAGGTTATGTTCCTTTTTGCTTTTTTTCAGGGTGGCCACTGTTTCCCTTTATAGTTGAGTTTTGCCTGTTTCCTTGGCTTGTCACATGATCGAATGCTACTCTTGCATGATCGAACTCTGGTCTCGGACAAGACAATGTTAATTCGAAATCTATTATAAAATGGATTTTATGAAATCTCTTTGATCTCATGGAGCAAAGACTCCTAAGTCCTAACAAATTGATTGTGTTCATAGGCCATTAGGAGCATTTAGAACTCTTAACCACACTCCCCAAGCTGGGGTGTCTGTTTGAATTTTAAAGGCCCTTATTCAGTGTTGATTTCATCAATTTGGGGTGCTAGGAGGGGTAGAGTCGGTATAGAAATGAGCTCTGCTTTATTTACTTGAAGTAGCTGCTTTTGGATTCTAACCTATAGTCTCATGCTTGTTAGACTAAACTTCTACCACTATGCAACTTGACTTTTAGGCCACATTCAAGCGTACAATAATACCACCCCAATCTGGTACTTCCCAAACATGGGATAGGATAGCTACATTATCCTATGTTGAAGATATACATAATAAAGTTGTCTCTCTCTCTAATAGCTTAAACTTTTATATGAGTTGGTGGTCAATAATTTAACATAGTATTAGAGCAGGCAATGGATCCATCTCATGCCTACCTGAAAGATTATAATACTTGCACATGTTGGCGAACTTATGGAGAGTCTAGACACACGTGAGGGGACGTGTTAAGGCTAAATAATGAAGTTGGTTGATAAAAAAAATATAAATAATGAAGCTGCCCCTCTCTCGTTAGTTTGAGATGAGTTGGTGGTCACTAAATTTAATATTCTCCACAATCCTCCTTATCCCATGTGATACATAATTTCCCCTATTATCCCAAGCATAGTCCTATCCCCCCTTGTCATATCTGGCAACCACATGTGGCTTTAATGTTACATATTCTTCTTTTACTAAATAAAGTGTTAACAAACTAAAATATATATAGAAAATGTGAAAGTGATAACTAAATTAGGTATGGGTGTCACAAATCCCACACCCTTACCCTTACCATATCCAGAGGACACTAGTATTGTAGGGGAAATAGAAGAGTCACGTAACACTGATTTATCGACATGAAAATTAGACGTATTGATAATCAACAAATTTCTCTGTTGGTATGCAGGGGCATGTGGGCTCTGTCAATGAGGAAGTTTCTGAGGTCAAAAAGTTGCTTCAAGGTGAAATAACTTTGAGAAAGGCGGCTGAAGAGGAGATTGGCATTCTCAGAAATCAACTAGATGAACTTATGCCATCAGAGGTACGGTTTGACCCAAGTACATAAAATATTTGTATGAGCAGCATATGGTTCATTTCAATTCCTGAAGCGTAAGGTTGGTGATATATAATGTATATCTTGGTGTACTAGGCAGGTGGAAATGCAGATGTTATGAAGCTTCAAGGATTGCTCGAAGATGAAACACATCAGAGAAAGAGACTTGAAGAAGAAGTAATGATATTACAAAGTCAGTTGTCACAATTGTCTTTTGAAACTGATCAGGTATGCCTTTTACAGAAATGTAGCTAATTCATTTTGATTTTTCAAATATTATTTGTTCCTTATATGATGTTACTATTATGTCTTTTTTGTTACACTTAAGTGGGATCGTTGCTTTCCTCATGATGAAAGTTGCTAGAAAAACTCTAGGGTTAACATATAGCTTTTCTAACAACTGGGCAGAAGATGGTAAGGGATGAGGAAAGAGCTGAAGTGCTCCCAAATTCATGTTTTTTTTTTTTTGAGGAACTTTTTCATAAGCAATTGATGCATGTTGGCTAGAATCTTTATTGAGCACATCAGTGAAAACCTTAGATACTAAACCTTCATTGGACTTTTCATGAATTCCTGGTCATCCTATGTCCCACCACACTATAGCACATTTATGTTTGTAATTCTTTATCCTATCTCACTATAGTTTATGTTATAGACTAGGAATCTGGATAGAGGCAGGCTTGGGAATGTCTTTACTTGTGGAGGTTCTGTGTCTAATGTTGGACATTCACCTCTCAAAGATGTGGCTAATGGACGCGGAGCATTAATAACCAGTCTCCATGAACAAGGTATCACTGGAGCTTTTCCAAAGTTGTCATTTAAATCCTATTTAAGCCATATGTTTCTAATACTTTTACCTATCCATCAAGCTGACAGTTGGATTGCAAAAGATCTTCTCATTGCTGGAGTCTGAAGATCCTAATGTACGGCTTCATGCTGTAAAAGTAGTGGCCAACCTAGCAGCTGAAGGTGCTTAATTCTCTCGCCTTAAGGACTTGCTACTGCTGTGCCATTCTCTTTTTGATCGTGTATGACAAATGAAACATAGCCTTGATATGCTTTTGATTAGGTTATCTTTCGAAATAGTTTTCAGGGATTTTTAATCATTTGAGTCACTTTAGTTCTGTATATCTTGTTTCATGTTGTTGAACTTCATATAAGGTGTTGGTGGAGTACTTGGTGTTTAGATTCTCTAGGCAGGGATGACTATTGAGATGGTTAATGCTTTTGTCAAGATCCAGCAGGGCATCCTGTCTTATTTTTGTTCTCCTAGTCATGAGCACTCCTATTATTGTTGTTATAAATACAACTATTAGTATAATTTTATGAAATAAAGCCAGGGTGGCCAAAATGAAACATATTTCTTTGGAAAATAGTGAATAAAATTTATTCTTATGTGTATTATTCAATTGAATTAGTTGGTCCCATCTCTAGTGATATTTGTTAATTATTTGTAACACTTGTAAGGGTGTTAGAAACTGCTTTAAGATGTGCAAAAGCATACTGATTCACTGATTGTTACAAGGATGTATGCAATAAGACCAGGATGCTTTCTGGTATTCAGTTCGGCTGTTAAAAGGATTATTGTGTTTAAAAAATGATTAGGGTCAGAAATGAGAACTTCGTAGGCTGAATAAGGGAAAGGTTCCAGTTTAAAAATGATTAGACCAGAAATGGGGATGATAAATAGATGAGTGGAATATCCAATCAGAAAAGATAAAAAGTGGACAGACTAGAATGTGAGTTAACATTCAAGGAGGTGCTATCTTGCTCCACAAAACTCCTCTGGTGCTTTAGATCTCTCTCGCCCTTTCTCAAAAGCAAAATCTTGAAGCACTGCTCTGACCATATGCTTGGGGATCACGACAAAATATTCATGTTTCTTAATATATTTATTTTATTTTCCAGGGCAAAATGGTGTTCACAAGGTGCCATACAGAATTTCATGCATAATATAGTGGGCTTTATGATTAACTTGAATTACTAAATATGCTTGCTAGGTGAAAGTCGAACTACACGTGTCGGACACATCCCATACCCTGAATTGTCGAGTGTTTGACACATGTACTTCATACATTTTAGAAGAGTTCATGTAACATAGACTATGTCAAGAACACTATCCATAACTGAGACATCATGACTAGCATTGTCACATTATCAACTCACTAGGTTGGAGAGTTGAATCCAAGAGGCCTAGCCTCTTACTCACTTTCTGATTTTTTCATATCTTCATTGGAGAGCCCTTGCCCATATTGCAGAAGTAATATCTCCAACTATCAAGTCTATCTTCTTCCTTTTTCCCCTTAATTTCTTCCATATAGGTATGATACAAAACCTCAACTCATTCTTTCAACCCTAAATTTGATAAGAAGATCATTTATCCTAATGATCTATAAATGTAAGCTGATTTGAAATCAATCTAGAGAAAAGTGCTTAAAACATTGTCAGATTTAGCCTTTTGGTCTGGTCATTCAAATCATGATCCAAATGTCGTTGACTATGTTCATAATAATTCACAATGTAAATCTGTTTGTAACAATTGCTGCTTCTATTACTTACACTTCATGGAATAGGTGCATACTGAGTTACTAACAATGTACTATGCAGAAACAAATCAGGAAAGGATTGTTGAAGCTGGTGGGCTCACTTCCTTGTTGATGCTTCTTAGAAGGTTGGAGGATGAAACTGTTCGCAGAGTAGCTGCTGGTGCAATTGCGAACCTTGCTATGAATGGTTGGTGTTTACTAGTGATTTTTCTCATTATCTCTAAGGTGTGTTTGGTTCACTGGAAGGAAGGTGGGAATAGAATTGAATGATCATTCCTTAACCTCACTCTGGAATGACCATTCCCTTGCAATGATAACCAACGATGATTCCATTTACAATGCATTTTATATCTTTTTTTTAAAGTGAGCCAAACATGAGAATGGACATTCTGATGGAATGATCATTTCATTCCAGCAAACCAAACACTACCTTAAAGCACAAAATATTCCTTTTAATCTTTGAGAGCACCTCTTTATTTTTACTGTATTTTTTAATTTTAATTTTTTTCTGGGGTTGCTGTCCCATTTTACATATTTATGTATTATTTCTTATATCAACTACTCTCTGACCTGGCAGAAGCCAATCAAGAACTTATAATGGCTCAAGGTGGAATTGGTCTATTGGCAACGACAGCAGCTGATGCTGAGGATCCTCAGACTTTACGCATGGTTGCTGGAGCTATTGCTAATCTATGTGGCAATGGTATACTGAACGGTCTTTTGCATCAACTCTTTCCGTCACTTCTTTTCTAATCTCCTGTTTATTGTCATTTAGCTCTTGAGAAGGAATAAGGAACTGTGCGGGGATGTCTCTTCAACAGATAGGTTGCATGAAAAAGTGTGAAATGAACACCTTTTTAAGATTTTAATAATTTCACATTAACTTCAATAAAATAACTTTGTTGAAACAGACCTTTCTGCTACTTCCATTAATTTTGTTACTTCTTTATGATTAACGTAACATGAGAATAGAGTTGGCACATGAAGAAAAATGTTGCGTTTTTGTTTTCTCCATTTTCCTTACCCCCCACCCCCCCGGCTTTTTAATAAACAAAAAAGCAATAAAAAGTTCAAAACACCCATCCTTTATTGTTTTCATTTTTGTGTAAAAATGAGTTGTTTTCAGAAAAATTCCTTGAAAGAAGTTGTAGGAAACAATACTCCTAGCTAGTTTTCTGTGTTTTCCAGAAAATGAAAATAGAACAGAAAACGAGAACACAACCAAACGGTTCCAAAGTTTTTCATTGGGGCTTTAATACCAGGTTAAATTTGTAGTTACAGTCCACCTTGTGGGGTCTGGTCTATCAATTTAAATCCCTCTTGATCCTAACGTAATGTGTTGTTTTACCAGATAAGTTACAAACAAGGCTGAGGTCTGAAGGTGGTGTTAAGGCATTGCTAGAAATGGTGAGATGTAGACATCCAGACGTGCTCGCCCAGGTTGCGCGAGGAATTGCAAATTTTGCAAAATGCGAGTCTCGAGGATCTACTCATGGTGAGTGGTTTAGACACTAGCCTGTCAAATGCTTGTTAGTACCAAAAACTATTTTGGTGAATAAATGGAAGAAATAAAAGCACTCATCATTGTCATATGATTTTCTCTTTTCTTTTTTTTAGGTGAATATTTTTTGAAAATATGTTTGTGTTTATTTTTGTCAAAATAGATTCTATTTTTTGGAAAATAAAATAAAAATGACAACAGATTGTGAAACGAAACCAAACAGAGCTTATCTGTAGTATGATTACTAACACCGCACTACCACCATCCCAGGGACAAAAACTGGAAAATCTCGTTTGATAGAAGATGGTGCACTTCCATGGATTGTACGAAACTCCAATAATGAAGCATCACTAATCAGGCGTCACACTGAGCTAGCACTTTGCCACTTGGCACAACATGGTGAGAAGGGTTCTCTATTTCTGTTGCTGACCTAGATTGCTTGAACATGTCCACAAAAAGAGAATTTTAACCTTCTTTTTTTCCCCAAAAAAATTTTCAGAAGTGAATGCAAAAGACATGATTAGTGGAGGTGCTCTTTGGGAGCTAGTTCGAATTTCACGCGAATGTTCTCGAGAGGACATAAAGACTCTTGCTCGTCAGACTCTGACTTCCAGTCCAACCTTCCAAGCCGAGTTGCGGCGACTACGGATAGAGTTATAGTTACTCCCACAAGCATAGCTGATCCAAGGGCATTATACAAAACCCTCGAAGCAGTGTGCTCGAGAGATGCATAATTATATCTGTGCCAGATAACGAGGCATAGGGGCATCTGCAAACCATTGGAGAATTTTTGAGCTGAGGTCGGACTAGGGTTTAAGGTAATTGCTTAACATTCTCATAATTTGTAGGAATATAACCCTATTGCATCTGCTTCGGTGTTGACCTTGTATAAAACCCTAATGAATTGAAAATGTCATAATATTTTGTTGTGTAAAATACTTGAGAGCAAATATAAAACATACTGTTATTTAATAGTTGTCATATTCTTCCTCTTCTTGAGCCTTGAAGTAAAACTCATTACTAGGGCTAGGGTTTGTTCATTATAGAACTTGTGGACTGGGAAAGATTATTTTCCTTTGGTACATAAAAAAACTAAGTACTAAATCTGATATTTGTGACAACTTTCATAATTGGTATCATAGTGACAGTTTAGTTACAGTATTGTTGATTTGAATATTTATTCCGCATCAAGGAAAGTTGGAATTTCATCTCCGATGACATTTTTTTTGGTTAGAAATAGTAATAGTATGGGGACGGTTATTCCATATATTTTGATATTGAAAATCAAAATTTTTAGATATATAATTTTTCCTGTTTCTATTTTTGAGGTCATTCCTTCTGCAAATATAGCAATGATATCAATTTTTTTGTAGAATGGTAATGACATATCTGGAAAGGGTGGTTTGATCTAAGAGTAAAATTTGTCGTTAGCGTTCTCGATAGTATTAAGATTTGAGTCACAGGAGTAGTTCTTTTAGAGCAAAGAAGTTTCTTCTTTTGCTTGATAACCTTTTTCATGATGATTGTTCACTACATATGATGTTTACATATAAATCACATTCATAAAGTTTGAAAGTGATTTGCCAATTGACCGTCAAACAGTATTGCTAGTGTTGAAAGTCATTAAAAGCTTAAAGTTGATGAGACTGGTTTTGTATAGCTTTCATGGTTCAAAAGTTATGGGGCCCTTGGTCCTACATTTCTTCTTTCCTTCTTGATTCTCTATTTTGTGAGTATTTATATATATAAAACATGGGTTTTAACTATCTCATAATTTGTTATAGTTTCAATTCTATTAATTTGATCATCAAATTTTGATGCATAAATGTCTTGTTTTTTTTCACTATGAACTATGTCTGCAAGTCTGGATTGTCCTTAAAAATATGATAGTGTCTGGTTTGTTGAATTGAAATTATTTTGAATAGGAATGGAATGACTATTTTTTGATCTCCCAATAGAATAATTGTTCTTTTAAATTAATGTATGATTTATGTACATTTGTTATCTTTTTCTTTTTTAATTAAAACAAACATTGGTTTGAATATTCCAATAAAAACTTTTTTTTTTTTTTTTTTTTTTTTTTTTCAGGTGGGGGGGTGGGGTGTACTAGGGTTTACCTAACCCCCGAGATGAGAAGGGGCCTCCAAAACTCCAAAATTTCCAAATCAATAGCAAACTCGGACCCCTATGTTAGCTAGATAGTCAGCACCAAAATTGCCTTCCCTTAACACATCTATTCTAGTCTTTTTTTATTTATTTATTATTATTAGGCCAAACATAGGATTGAATATTCTAATAAAATGATCAGTTCATTTCAATTTTTGATAAGATCAAGGGTTTAGTATGACAGATCATATATTCTCTTACAAGATCTAATGTCTGAGTTGAGTCTTTTCACTATAGTATGCAACTTTCTTTTTATTATTTTCCTCTTGATTAAATAAATAAAAATTCAATTTAAATCAACAAAACATTGTTTTTAGGACAATATGATGTAGCAAATATTACCCCCATGATTCGTCAATGTTTTTCAACAGCATTTGAATGGTGGGGGGGGGGGGGGGGGGGGGGTTCATGATTGTGTTTTTTAGGGGGGTGCATGAGTTTCTTCCTAGTACTTTGCTTAAATAATTCCTAGAAGGACATGACATGACTGAGTTTGTAGTTTCAATGGCATTATCTAATTTTGCATATAATCAAGTTGTCGGCTCAAATGCTTTTACAAATCACAATTTGAAATTGTATCTCTGTACCTATCATCCCTCAACATTAATCAAAAAGGTTGTCTCTCTGGAGTAAGGAAAATATTTGGAAGCTCTAAAAAAAGAGCTTTCATAACTCTAATGTGTGTGTGTGTGGGCCTCATCTAATGTGATATTTTGGCCTTGTGTGTGTGTGCTTTTTTTTTTTTCCTACATCACTAGAGCTCTAGTTTTTAGCAGAATGAATCACTATTCCTGGAGTAAAACGTGTAATTATATTCCAACAATGTTGCTATCCCAAAACAAAACATTTAGAAAGTTTCAGAATTTTACATTAATGTTCAGGATTATATAGAGTGCAGTCCCACAATATTATATTTCAATAGACACCATTGATTCAAAATTTATTACGACTTTCTGAACATTTTTCTAGGATTATAACTTTTCTGATTATATTAACCCTTCAATTTAAGGCTTTTAGGCCCCGTTTGGCAAGATGGTTGAGACTAAATTAATCTACTAAAAGACAAAATAAACAAAAAAGATAATAAAACTTACATACAAATTATAATCATTTCATTTTTTCTTTTATAGAATTACAAAAAGTTAAAAGTTTATTCTAAACATAAATTTTTTAGTCAAGTTAAAATAGTCAAAAAAATCAGACTAAAAAAGTTCTTTCCAAACGAAAGGTTAATTAATTAATTTATTCATCTTTTAACATGTCATACAATATGAATATCATTGCTGGAGTAAATCAAATTCCTCTCAAGTTAAACTGAAAATGGTCCTATATATTTTTTTGTATGAGATGTAAAAGAACATTTGGTCTTAATAATGATACTTTAAATAATTTTTTAGAGATGTAAAAGAACATTTGGTCTTAATAATGATACTTTAAATAATTTTTTAATAAAAGTACAATATGGGACATTGCATGTCGGAGCATTGTTCATTTCATGCTACACAAATTATTCATCAAACTACATAAATTTCTTGCATTACAATCACAACGAAAAACAATTGCACTTGTTGTAATAATAAAGAAGTAAAATTTTTCTACAAATTCACATTCAAAATTGTTGTCAACCAACTAGGCCTAACCTAATTGGCCACCATATCTTCCTTAGAGCTTAGTCCTAAGGAGGAAAAAGTTCTTTCCAAACGAAAGGTTAATTAATTAATTTATTCATCTTTTAACATGTCATACAATATGAATATCATTGCTGGAGTAAATCAAATTCCTCTCAAGTTAAACTGAAAATGGTCCTATATATTTTTTTTTGTATGAGATGTAAAAGAACATTTGGTCTTAATAATGATACTTTAAATAATTTTTTAATAAAAGTACAATATGGGACATTGCATGTCGGAGCATTTTTCATTTCATGCTACACAAATTATTCATCAAACTACATAAATTTCTTGCGTTACAATCACAATGAAAAACAATTGCACTGGTTGTAATAATAAAGAAGTAAAATTTTTCTACAAATTCACATTCAAAATTGTTGTCAATCAACTAGGCCTAACCTAATTGGCCACCATACCTTCCTTAGGGTTTAGTCCTAAGGAGGTCATAAGCTCAATTCCTCTTAGGGATTGAATTAAGGGAGTACAAGCACTTAGGTGATTTGCTAAAGGTGAAAATATTTTCTCTCATAAGTACTAATTTAACAATTAACAATTAACATTTGTCGATAAAAAAAAAAAGCAAAATTGTTGTCACCAAATTTATCAATCAATAGAAGATGAACATGTGACAATCAGAATATTCTCAATATACATATAATATTATGTGGGTCCTTAAAAGACACATGTAAATCCCTAAGAACCGAGCATTTGATATGGAAGAAAGAGAGACGTTGAAAGAAAAATAGTTAGAAGCAATGGGAGAATTTGAATTCAAATGCAAAGAGGAGGAAAGAATCCAAGCAATGAAGATATGGAGAAGAATTATGGGGACGTGTAAAGTAGTTCAAATCCCCTCGACAGTTACCAATAGGCCAGAAAGTGATAATTGAAGATTATGTGTTCATAACAGTGTAGACATATAAAAGAAAGGCCAAAAATCAAATCAGAATTCAATTACTTCACTTTTTTTTGTTCTATCTTTCCTTGTCATGGAAGTATCGATAGCAAGAGTAGGAATACATTCAGATACTTGTAATTTTAGGAGTAGAGTACTTTGAAATAGTAGCAGTACTGATAAGGTGCTTCTTTCTCTTATAATTGATTTTTTTTTTTTTTCCCAGCAAAACTGAATTTTTATTGATGAAGAAAACATACATTTCATATGAGATTATATCACTAAAGAGGAAAGAAAAGAAAGAAATAATTGAATTGTTATACCATCAATTGCATTTTATTACTTGTTTTTACTTTCTTCTTAGGTTTCAGCTTGATTGGTTCTTCCATTGACACTTTAATGTCATTGAAAGTCCTCTTTGTTGAGGCAAACAAATATTATTCACATTCACTTAGTTTGATTTTGACTTGAATTAATTCTGCAAAGAATGTTCAATAAGCTAACAAAAAAATGATGCGATTTTTTATTATCTTTTCATCTCAAATTAAAACATTCGCCATAATTTGATTTATAATTCTAATAATATCATTGTCACATTATTTTGATTAAGTTTTATGGAATATAATCAATGGATGAAAAAAATTCACATCAACAAACTTGAAATTGGTTAAAGAAAATTTTAAAACTTATCGTGATTTGATAGTTATGCATAAAATTTAGAATGTGACAATGTGTTGCAATATTGTGAAATGAAATGGAAATCTTCATTCCATTCATGAAATAGGAAGGATCAAATCCAAATTTATGTCTGACAATTATGTTCCTAAATAATTTATTATCGATGACAACAATTTATTACCAACAGAGTTACAAATGCCACAACTCCAAGATGGCTAACTAATTTAAACATGCAAAGAAATTATCCAATTAAGAACAAAAATCCAAAAATTCATGCCAAGGTATGTTTGAATAACGGGTATGGTTACCCGTAAATGTATTAATTTTTTTTCACTAACAGTATGATTTAAATTATCATAATACTCAATCATACTATTAGTAAAAGAATATTTGCATCTATATTACTAACAATATGATTATGAGAATTTAAATCTTAACAGAGCACAATACACATATATCAAACTTGTGAAATTCACTATATTTTTCTCAAACCTTTAGGAAGATTACAGTGTAATTTACCCTTACTAATTCAAACAAGTACACTCTACAATCGTTTCAACAAGTGGTTAGTATACATGCCTGCTGATGCATTTTGGCTTATAGTTGATTTACAATTTGATTCACAATCGATACAAATGGTTCGACTGCTATTAATAAAGACAGAAAAGAACTTCCCCTCAAGATAAGAAGTTGAAATGAAGTCAAGCTTCTCTGGATCCCATTGAATTTCGTTCACTTCTTTTTCTTAATAGCTATCGTTATTCTCAATATCACTATACTGCAACCCACATTAATTCATCTTGCGATACTGCTATTTAAAAGCTATTCAATCACTGTCATGAATCTCCGTTCATACATATTGAAGTGACATGATCGAACAACTCTAGATCCTCTCAATAATGGTGGAATTTGACACCAAATAGGGACCTTAGTGATAGAGACGAATCTATGATCAAATGGAAAAAAACATAAACTAAATTAAAAAAGAGAATAGTATTACATTCTCCATAAGACATAAAAGCCCAAACAAAGTTCCCATTAAAATACTTGCTAAGTTCTAAATATGAATTCAACAACAAAAGTACAAACTCGCCCCCCAAAATAACGGATGAATGGGATACTATAAGGTAATTATTTAGTAGTCTCGCAAAATAATATATGAAAAATATGATAAATGTAATTGTAAGGAGTGATTGTTTTATTAACTCTTTCTCGAAAGCAAACATGAAGAAATCAAAGGCTATACATTGTAGATATCTAGAGGAAATTGAACTACAAATAAAATTTGTGTAGATAAAATTCGTACAGAATGATATGACAGTTGTATATTTGTAATTTTAAACAACAAAAATAGATGTTTTGACTTAAAAATAAAAAGACTAAACAGAACACCACATATATCTATGAATCACTGCACAAGAAAGTAAACAAGACTTAACAAAACATGAGACAAGATTTAACACAAAATTGAAACAGTTTTCTATAATGAGAAGATGTATATATTTATATATAACAAAGAATATACTTAAAAATATTATATATCCAGTATTACACAATACATAATCATTTTAAATTTCTTATAGTATAGCAAGCGTTAACAAAATCCAAAAATCCAATGTAATATGAAGATATGAATGAAGGTATAGTGAACCCAACCTAGGTTTAAGATCACAGATTTAACTTTGTAGATGATGTATTCCTTTATAAGATGTGATGTCTAAAATAAAATAAAAAATTAGGATTTTGAATAACTGCTAATACCTAAATCTAGACAAATTAATGATGACTTACCTGACCCACTATTTTAGTGCCCTGAGACCTTCAACACTTGAGTGAGTGAGCGAACGAGTGAGAGAGAGAGAGTTTTAACGCTCGAGCTGAGTGATTTGTTTTGCCTTTATATGTAAGTGTTTAGTTGCCTCGAAAAAGAGCTTTGTTCAGTGCAGCGCATGTGTGTAAACCCAGTCCTCAATGTCCATTTCTGTCTCCTACTGCTCTCTACATAAATATCAATCCCAAAAATACCCCAAAAAAAAAAGCCACAAGAAAATCAAGAAAATGAGAGAGTTCTTAGTCCATAGGTCATACCTTGGTCTCTACTCATCACCCATTTGCGTGCTCTAAACACATCACCACCTCTTTCCCCCCACCATTCTCGAAACTATCACCAACTTACAATCGACCGAACACATCATTTTGAAATTAATAAAAAAAATATAATTATTTTAAGTTTATTATCAAATACCTAATAATAATGAAACTATAGTAACAAATCGAAAGTTTAAAAAATTTCAATTCATATTGACGGATATGATATACGGCTGATATTAAAACCCTAAGTATGAGTTATGAGGTAGAAAGAGGATGGGTATGATGAGAAAAGGATAGATGTTAAGTTTTGTGTGGTAGTAGTATTATAAGTTAGAGTACTAAGAAACAGATAAAGTGCAATCTTCTAACTGATAAAATAAATGAATTTAAATATAAAAGAAATAAATAAATAGTTTTGAAACTCTACAGAACCAAAATACATTGTAGATAGATATGATAAAAAGATGTCTTTATTTTTTTAAGGTTGTTTCTTGAGTTATTTTTTAGGGGGCTATTTGGATGATGACGTACAATAGGAAACTTAAAAACACACTAAAGCTACCCTCAAAAGAATTGCTGCGTTTTTTATTCTGCAGAGAGTGAATGAATAATTATCAGACCAGCAACATCAAATGAATATATATATATGTATATAGAGAGAGAGAGATAGAGAGAGAGAGAGAGATTGCCATCCTCTTAATCCTCCTAACTGTTATCACATGGAGTGAACTGAAAAAGCTATTTGTAGATAGGATATCATTCAAAAGCACCAAGAATTCATGAATTTATGTACATCCCTCTTCAATCAAAAGCCATATAGACTAGCAAGATATAACCAAGATTAACATATTTAACAACAACTACTAGTACTTGTGAAAGAAGAAGAATGCAAGGTTGGTGAGTGATTGGTGACTTGGGAAAGTTTAAAAAAAAAAAAAAAACAAGTGGAAGAAGCAAAGAAAAACAAAAACAAGAAATTAATCTTTAATTTTCTTGTTAAAAAGGTGGGCGACCTGTGCCCCAATATGCCTCAGCTGGTAATTGGCATGAATTTAGGAGATTTGGAGGTAACCCATGAAAAAGAGGTGAGTTTGGATCATTCATGAGTTGTTGTTGTTGCTGTTGCTGCTGCTGCTGTTGACCAACTATACCCGGTGGCGAGCCTAGGGACCCGCTCCCTGGCATGGATACCGGGGGCTCCTCGTCCTCGAGGGGCAACCTTTCATATGCTGCATTTCCAAAAGATGCCGCCATAATTACAACCGGTCCGGAAGCCAAGAGTTGACCTACTACGCTCCCTCCAACCACCTGTCCCTGACCGCCGGCTAAGTATATGGTCAAACCTGACGCAGCCGGTGGTGCAGGAGGCGGTAAAAAGGACCCAGAAAGCGACAAGATTTCGAATCGGCCGTGTAAAGTGACGACCGCACCGGGTGCCGCTGGCTGCCGCAGAGTGACATTAGTGACGGTTCCATTGCCACTCAAAATGCAAACCCCTCTTTGCCGCCTCGCAGCAAAAGTCGACACGCTCTCCGCGATATCACAACCGTTGGCGATTTCCATGACGTGCGACCGGAGGGCGTTGGCGCTATCACGGGTGATTATAATCGGCGGCTTGGGTTTGTTCTTGGACCCCGCGGGGCGGCCTCGGGGTCTTCTCGTGATCTCGCCTTCGCCGGTAAGGGAGACTAATTCTCTTCCTTCGGAGGAGTTGGTGTTCGTGGTGGTGGTAGCAGCGGCAGCAGGGGTTACAGGCGAATTATTTTCATTGCGATCGCGTTTTTGGCCGCGGTTTAGGCTAATTCCTCCCATTTGTTGTTCATCTTCAGATTTTTGCTGTTGGTGGTGGTGGTGCTGGAACTGAAGAGGAGGAGTGTGGTGGTGGAGCTGAAGATCTCTGGTATGGAAAGGAGGTGGAAGAGGACGACCGTGTGCTGTAACTGGATCCATATACAAAGTTTGTGCAAATTCTGAGAGAGAGAGAGATGGGAAGAGAGAGAAAGCTCTAATTTGTTGTGGGTATTTTTTCTTTTCTTTCTTGGAGGATTTTCTTTTGGGTGTTTGAGGAATTGAATGCTAGCTAGTGAGCTTGACCAAGAAAAGAGAGGGATGGGAAGGGGGCTTTGGGCATATCAGCAACCAGAATTTCAGCTGAAACAGCTGAAGAAGAGGACATGTTTATTTCTCTCTAATGATCTCATGAGATGGCTTAGAGTAAGGTATTCAAAGTTTTCTTGGTGTTCCTCCCGTTGGTGAGGGTTTGGGAGAGAAAGAAGAAGAAGAGAGAGAGAAGGGGGTGTGTTGGGTTTAGTGTTGTTTTGGGTTAGGGTTAGGTCAAGAGCGAGAGGGTAAAGAGAGAGAGGAGGTTTGGATCGAGATTGGGTTGAGTTTTGGTAAGACAGCGTGCGCATGGGCGGTGGATGGGCCCCTCCTTTTCTCTATCTTTTGTCTCTCACCTCCCGGGCCCCTTAACACCCACGTTCTCCAGCAAGGATCCTCTAGAGTGAAATTTTCCTAAAGTTTCCTAAAATCCTACATTGTGTGGTTGAGATTTACTGGCAAGTCACATCAGAAAAATTGATGTGACTTGCCAGTAAATTTCAACCACACAATATAGCACTCTAGGAAACTTTAGGAAAAAATCACTCTAGAGGATCCTTGCTCCACGTTCTCTCTCTCTCCAACTCTTTCTCTCTCTTCTTCTATTTTTTTTTTTAACAGTAAAATAAAATTTTATTGATGAAAAAAATAATAAACTTGTAAAAATATATTAACAAAGCAGGAAAACACAATGAACATTAAAGCTAACCCAATATTAGAGAGAAACCAATCAAAAACATCCAACGAAAGAAAGGAAAAAACAGAACAAACAAACTACAACAATGGTATTATTGCAATGGTATTATTTGATATAATTTATCTCACTTATTAATAATTTTTTCTTTTTAAGGGTACTCTCGTCCCGTTTGGTAAAATTGTGGAAAAGTGATTATACCTTATACCGTAACAGTTTATAACTTATAACTGTGAATATAAACTGATTTTTGACTTATAAATTAAGCTTCTTCTCTCACACTCAAAGAATAAGTTGATTTTTGACTTACAAAAAACTATAAGCTGTATTATTAAGCTGAACTAAACATATCAAAATAGTTTAAATTAAGTTAAAAGCTAAAATAAACTGAAAATAAGCCCTACCAAACAGAGTCTCTCTCTCGTTTAAGGGTGCTGACCAGCCTCACAGAGTTTATCCTATGTTTTATTTTAATAATTCAAATTATTGATTTGTAAGTTTTTTTATTTGTATTATTTATATAAAATATTAAATCAATTTAACAAATTGAATAGATTATAATTATTGGATTGATTTAATTTTTTAAATGCTATATATAAGAGTATTGCTATTTTGATCTAAAAATTAGACTCTTCCAGTGATGTGTTAAGAAGATAATTGATTAATAATTAAATATTCTCTAATTATCAACTAATTATCTTTTTGACACATTACTAGATTTAAAAAATAGATTTGTGTATCATTTTTTTATATGTAAAGAACATTACAGAATGAATGGTTCAGATTATTAAAATGAAACCCATAAAAAGTCTCATGAGTCCAGACAACACTCTTCTACTCATATTATTAGTTGGAGGGAATCAAACTCTTATATATATATATTAAATTATTTGATATAACTTCTGTTGCAACTTATTAAGCAAAATAAGCTAAAAATAAATTAATTATCTAAAAATTAAAAGGAAAATATTTTTCAATTTTTACTTTTTAGTTATTAATTTTTACATTAAATTACACCAACAAGCCCAATAGAAGATAATCATGTTGTCTTTCATCTTGGTTACTAAAAGCTTCATTCCCTTGTTATCGCCCCTCCCCTTCTTCCAAATCTTTTCCATTTAGCGAGTTATTATTCAATCTTTTTGAAATATCAGGAGTTTGTTCAATATCAAAAGATTATTAAAAAGAGGGGAACCCTCTTGAGATTTAATTAAATTATAAATTTCCCTCTTTGATTTCAACAGTTACATCCCTCCTCATTGCAATTAACGTAGTTGACAGATATAGTAAATTGACTAAAATGCCCCTAACTGTGTTATCCAGAGAAATAATAATATTTGGCTGATACATCATGTCAAGTTAGTCAGTAGTTGCTCAGTACTTGTTTTAGAATTTTTTTTTAAAAAAATTAAAAATTAATTTGATTAAGAAATAAAAAAATAATAAATAATTATCATTTTATATAATTTTATTTTTGAGGGTTAGAAAAAAAATTTAAAATTAAATATATTTTTTCATATCTATTTTTATTAAATTAGTTTCTATTTTTTTTTTAAAAAAAAATTCTGAAATTTTTTTTCCAAACAACAAATCAAACATGGTTCCAAAAACTTAGGTAATGTTTGGTTTAGAACTCAAATCATAATTTGAATAAAAGAATTCAAAACTTGTAACCAAACTCTTTTCAAAACTTTTTACAAAACTCTATTTTAAAAAAAAATCATTTTTCTTTCTTTAAAATTATTTTATATTTATTATTTATTTCAAAAAAAGTTATTTTTAATTTTGAAGAAAAATAATTTTTATTTTTGAAGAAAAAAATATTTTGTTACTTTTTAAGTATTAGCCAAATAATTTGTTATAATTTAGATATATATGGACGATTCAAAATTTTTTAAATCAAGTTGTTCAGTGCTTTGAAAAGGTATCAGGGACAATATCGTCTATCAAGATTTATTTTCGTGATGTCAACAACAATTCCTACCGTTTACTTCACGGCAAGGACAAATTGATATGCAAATATAAATCTCGGGGGCGAGATGTAATTTCTGAAACCTGAAGGGAGAATCTATAATTTAATTAAGCCTCAAGGGGTGATGGTAATTTGCCCAAAAAAATAAGAAATATTAAAAATTGATTTGAACTGATAATAATTTTATCCCTTTAACCCTTTTCGAATTCTTCCATATGTTTCTATTAACGGTAATATTACATGCATCAATTAGTATACTAATTAATGTTATGACATTATTACTGACTATACATATTATACAAATTACAAATACTTAAAATATCTGACATTATGTTATATTATCTGTTAGTACACTAATTGACATACTAATTAGTGTATATAGTATTATTCTTTTATTAAACTAAATCAATCATTTGTTGTGGAATCGAAAATGCTTTGTACTAAGAAAAAATTAAAAAATAAATTTTGAGAGGTACATTTTGATCTAGCGTGGTACACATTATAAGTAAATTTAGTTTATATATTTCAAATTCTAAATATTTTTTTATGAACAAATAATATTGCCAACTAGTCAAAAATTGAAAGTAACACAAAATCATGGATATTTAAAAAATATGACATAATTTACATCAACCTAAATGTAAATTTTATTATAATAAGATAGACATATACACACGAGTCTAGTTGGTTTAAAGAGAATTGAGAGCTTTTTCTAGCTCTAGTGCTTGAACTTTTTTATGTAATGATTTTGGACAACGAAATACTAAAAAAAACTGCCGAACCCATTAAAGAAAAGTCTTAGAAAGAAGATCATGAGGTTTCATCTTTCTTTTTTTTCCATTCTCCCCGAAAATTCTATTAAAAGATTCGTGAAGGATGAGGTAAAAGAGGAGGCCAATACATGATTTTAGTAGTCTTATTTATTTTTGAAATATTACGTGATGTTATTTTAATAAATAAAAAATTATAATATATTAAAAATTAAATGTTTAATAAATATGTGTCAACATTGCTCATCGCAGAACCACCACCATGACAGACAGACAGACGGAGGAGATAGATGTTGGTGGGTGGCATATAGTAATTTACTGATAGAGTTTGGACACTTACGGAAGTGAGTGATTTGCAGAGAATGAGATTTGAGAGAGAGAGAGAGAGAGAGAGGGGGAGAGTTTCGCCCAGAAGACACGGCCTGACCCTCTGACCCCATTGTGTGGGTCCGCTCCAATTTCCCATGACCCACATGCGCCTCTCTCTCTCTCTCCCTCTCTCTCACAAAAAAAATTATTAAGATCTTATTTGATATAACCTAAAAGTATCCTCTCCCCCTCACAAAAAAAATTATTAAGAACTTATTTGATATAATCTAAAAAAATTCAAAATTAAAAAATTATTATTTTATTTAAGTGCTATTATCTTATTTAAATCACATTACTTCTCTATTACATCATTTTATATCCAACTTATACCCAATTCATATTTCATAAAAATTCAAAAAATATACTTATTTAAGTCATTCCAAATAATTTTAAAATATTTTTAAAACGTCATATGGTCATATTTTTCATTAATTATCATATGTTATATTTTTTTATATTTCTTAATTATTTAATATAAAATTATAATTTTTTTTAATAAATCACAATATCTTTAGAAGCATAGAAGACATGTTTGTTTTCCGAGGTAGAATGGAGGGGATTGATTGTGAGGGAATTAAGTAAGGCCAAGTTTGGAAAGATAAGAAAAAGTCAAAAAGTTACTCAAAAAGTTAACACTATTCACCAAAAGTAAACAATTACGACTGTACAACTCTCAATCCTAATTTTCTCCTACAAACCAATTTTTACAATTTTTTAAAACACATTTTTCCATAAAAAGTCAAAAAGTTAACCCAAACATCCATATTTTTTTCCTCAATTTTTCAGTCCAAAAAGACAAAAAGTGTACTTATTTAGGACACCTCAAACAACTCCTAAAATTGTGTTTGTTTTGATAATAGTTGTTAGTGTAGGAATTGTTAAATTATTTTTATATAAAATAATAAAACAAATAAAAAAATATAAAAAATTAAACATTAATATTTTAAAAAATTCTCAATATATAAAAAATAAAAAAATTTCTAATCCTCTCACTATTTTTCTAATACCATCTCCACCTCTTCCATCTCAATTCCCCTTCCAACCTACATCTATATCACCCCTCCATCTTAATCCCGTCCCCAATTCTATAAACAAACACAATACTAAATAACCCTACCTCCATTTTAATCTATTCCCATCTATTTAACCTCAAAACAAACGGGCCTTAAAATACTGGTGATCATATTCCACGAATATCTAATAATTACTCCTCTGTAACCCCTTTGTGATTTCAGTTGATTCTGCTCAATGCCATTTTAAAATAAACACATAAATTATTGTAATTTGTAAATAAAGCACTCGTTTGAAGGCGGATTGGAGCTAAAATAATCATAAAAGAATAAAATAAATTTTTTAATTTAATAAGATAAAATATCATATTTAAATCATAATTTTTTTATTTTTTCTCTTACAAAATAAAAAAAAGGTCTAAAGCGAGATTTTTTAATCTTACGATAGTCAAAAAGTCAAA